ACGTTGTTCCGATCGATGTCGATACCGGTGCCCCCGACCCTCCGCTTGCCTTTTCGGCTCTGCCGGCGGAGGGTGAAACCACCATGGTTTGAAGGGCTTGCATGACGTTCGGAATGAATGCTCCGTTGCGCATGATGGCAAGAAATAGACGAAGCGCGGTGGTGTGCAAGGTGACAGGACCGAAACACAGTTACACCAGCAGCGCTCCGTCTCGGAAGGGATGCGTTGTCGACGGAGAGAGTGGTACAGCTGGGCCATTGTAATGCTGATATGTGCCCAACGTCACTATCCGGTAGTGTTGAGAGTTTGAAAAAGCTTGAAACTTCACCCGGGTGTCACGCGGTTTGACCGGCACCGTGCGTGCCGATCAGCGAGACTTTTCAACCGCTCTATTGAAGGACCCCCCACTAGCGTGAGAAAAATAGAAAACCGCTTTGGTTGTCGTGGCTAAGCATGAAAGAGGGCGGCCGAATCCGTCTTGGCGTTCAGAACCAAGGCGGGCACCTCAGCTTTTCTGTGTTTCCCCGGATCGAAGCGGTTGAGTTGGAGATGTATGCGACTTTGTAAGAAGAGATGGGGGGTGTACTCATAGTCATGCATGCCGTAGTCGTTAGACCATTGACCTCGCATCCCTGCAAAGCCGGGACGGAGCACGCCGAGTTCTCACCGGACCAGGCTCTCACATCACCAAGAGATGGGACGGGAAAAAGGGCAGAGGTGGAAGGGGTACTGTCGAAGAAATTGAGGCAGGCAGGGGAGGCTGGTGGTTGTGTATGGTAGTATGGAACTGACGACGATGGGGTGATTATGGCTTAGTGAGGAGATAACCTCTCGCATGTACATGTATGGGGAATCGCTGTCGCAGTGGTGCATCGTGTCACACCCATCACATGAATGTTGCGTCTTGTGTTGCGACGTCAGTGGTGGTAGTAAAAGGCCGAGTAAAGAGATTGAATTCGAACATGATCGAACCCCGAGCAATAGCAACGTAGGGTCCATGCTTCAGTCGGCTTCGATCTTTTCACTTTGTATGAGGTCTGTTAACAGAAAGAGCATTTCCGTACTATTTTCGGGCCAATGCTCTGTCCAGTTCAAGACGCGTGGTTCGCAGTCTCGATGACAGGCCAACAAGCCCCCTTGCCATTCCCCCTCTCCCAAGGTTATTCGTCTTTCGTCTTACTTCATGTCTGAATTTGGCGATTGGCGACTGGCCCAACGCCTAGGGCCCGTGTGAAAACCCACAAGAGCAAATGAAAGAAAATATGAAGAGGAACGCCACTCGTGTGCCCCCCTCCCCCCCGCAATTAAGGTCATTCAATGCGCGAATGGGTTTTTGGCTAGGTTATGAATTTGCACCCATTCTCACGCACATTCGCTACCTGCCTCATGTTGCCCTCCGCTCTGCGCAAGCGGGTTTGGGTCATCTTGTCAATTTGTCCGTAACTTTTGCTTCTATCCCCATTGACATCAAGGCAGATACGTACTGTGTTTTTTTCGCGTCTTTGGGCTTGAACGGTTCTCTGTAAAATATTCCGTGGCCATCGCTTTGGTGTCGTTTTTTTTTTTTCTACAGGTTCTGCAGGCAGCCACATGAGATCCGCTAGAAGGTTAGATGTATCTGGTTTTATGGCCCGCAGCTGCCGCTGCCGCTGCCGCTGCTGCCTCTGTAGTCTATCACTTTCCCGACTGGAATTTTCTTTTTCGACTTGTCCCAACCTCAGGAGTTCAAGGCGATGCCAAGCGACGCGCGTAACTGGGAGGTGGAGGGTGAACGCTTGCAGGTGAGCGGCTGTTGGTTTTTCCATGGTCGTGTGTGTGGGTACTCCTTGCCGTGCATGCATGCCGTGTCGTTAGACCATTGACCTCGCATCCCTACAAAACCGGGACGGAGCACGCCGGGTTCTCGCCGGACGAGGCTCTCACATCACCAAGGTTTTACCACGGGGCTTGAATGTTTGGTTGTGTGCCGGTGCTGCGGTGGTGGTGCTACTCCTGCCGTGGCGATATGATTCAGGCTTTGTAGCTGGAGTGGCGTGCCACGGTCACTGAATGCCAACGGGGTTAGAAATGCTTGGAGTCTTTTCTGATGTAACTGAGGCGACGATGATGTTGCGTGTTCAAACATCGTGTTGCTGGCGTTCAAGGGAGTTAATTTTCGAGCTCTCACGAACCGTACAAGAAGAGGTGCAGTGTTTTCAAAGCAGGTTCAGTAACCGCGGCCATGAAATGGACTTGCTCATGGGGTGTGATCAGAAAGTCCTTACCCTTACGATGCAGCATCGCCGGAAGGAAAATACCTCCGAAGTATTTCCTTATGTACTGGTACAGATCGCGCCCGCACTATGGAACCTCTAGTCTCGGCCGAGGCAACCTTCCCAGGGTCATGCTACGAATGGTCGCTACATACGTTTTAGTGCACGGGTTCTTGACCGAGCTCACAAATAGTGCTCAAGTTGTTGAATTTCGCATTTTTTATAGGCTTCATTTCTCAACTCTCCTGGGTTGTCGAACGCGGGCGCGTTCTGCATTGTTTCTGGTCTGTTATCTGTGCAGGTTTGGGACGACGAACCCAACCCCGTGGAAGAGCTCACCGGAAATGAGTGGTACCACACCTTCGCCCCCAGCGATGTCGAGGTGAGCGCGATTTGATCAGCAGCATTCGCAGGATATCCGTTTTCAGTAAACATGTTGGATTAAGCACACAATCGATGAGTTGGTCTAGGGTTAGGGATGCGGTCTGCGTACCCCCTCCCTGTTGTTTTTCCTTTAGTACTCAATTTCCCGCGAAGGCGGTCCCATGTGATTAGTGGATTGTTCGCCGTTTGGCCCGGAGATTCGACCGGCACTATGCCGAGCACCGGCACTAAACAGGGACCTCTAGTGTAGCGATTTTGGCAATGACCATTACCTGTTGGTGGGTGTTGGATCGAAGCCGCCGAGATAGGGTTAGACTGGAAATACAAATGGTAATAGCGTTCCCGTTTCTTCTTGTTATGTTTTCCCCTGAAAGAGATAGCGGTTTGATTATCCGCCGGATCGAAGCCACCGGGGTGGAATATTTTGTGCCTTCTTGTGCTGGTTTTCCCTGGAAAAAACGTTGCCGTTTTGGTTCTTCCCCAGGTCGAAGCCGCCGAGATGACGTTCGACTGGACAAACGAGTGGTAACATTATTCCCGTTTCATATTCTGGTTTTCCCGAATTGACGATCCTTACAACGTTTTGGTTGTCCCCCAGATCGAAGCCGCCGAGATGGGGTTCGACTGGACAGACGAATGGTTCGAGGTGAACGGGATGGCGCGCAAGGACCTCATGACCCCGGAAGAGCTGCAAGAGTTCGAAGCTGCCGAGGCGAAGGAAGGCTGAGGGCTGGAAGCGGCGGCGGAAGCGGCGGCGGGATAAGAGAGAGAGACCGGGTGGTTGCGGCGAAACGAGGCGAGGGAAGGCTGAGGACTGGAGGCGGCAGTAGCGGCGAGAGATAAACCATGTTGTTCGGGCGAAACGACGCTTGAAAGGGTCGCCTCCTGCTCGAGTGTCGCGATGCCGCCTTCTTGGTCCAACAAATCCAGTGACACGTTGTTTTGGTCCCGGTTTTGTGGGGACGCCTGGTCTGTTCTGGTGGAAAAGCTGCACGGGATCATAACGGACAACCTGCCCCCCCCCCTCAAAAAATATTTTGGGTTGGAAAACCGGTTTCACAGTTCAAGTTGCGCTTCCCCCCCATTGTCTTCTTTTCTTGCCGCATGTTGACGGGCGATGGGACTAGGGAGAAGGCCCTTACGGAAGGCCATCTACCCACGTAATTCTATCCGTTTTTGTTCCACCTTGTGCCTGTTTCGTAGGAGTCTTGGAACGAGGGCATGAGCACGGCGTTTTTGTCCTCGTACCCAATATCATTGTTTGCGTATCGATCCTGGACAACCATTTTTTGGGTAGGTGCTTTCGGTTGGTTCAGTTTTTTTTTATTTCCTTGTAGATGTCTGCGGTGTTGAATGCATCCCGATACTGTTTTCGTGGAGAATCGAGAGCAGTTTTGGAACAATAAATTGCCTTGCTCATGCACGACTGCCTCCAATCCGAGGCCCGCTTGCCTTTAAACGTGCGTGCATGCATTGGTGGTGTCGACGAACGAAGTGTTCCAAATCAAACGGCACAAGACTTGCGTTGCGCGAACAGTTGGCGCTTTTGTTTGCCGAAGTACATACTTCTTCCGTATGTTCCCGGAGGACCAAGAGCACTTTTGGAAGAATTTCGACATGGTCGAGCCATGTGGTTTTTCAGCAATCCTGGGTCGGTGTTTTGCTGGCGCTCTTGCGCGGCAAAATATGTGCTGCGCTTTTCGTTCGTGGCGACTTCGCTTGCTGATGTCGCGGCACGCCGAACGTATATTTTGTTACCTTTCATACAACGTTGCGGCGTGTTTTGGCCCCATTTTTTTCATGGGGCAACGCCCCTCGTTCGAAGAGGTGGCGATGGTATGGAGAAGAGCATGGTAAACTTTAGTTTTCCTGCTACTGCTGTAGCGCACTTGTTGGTGCTGCCGCTGCTGCTGATCGCGATATCTATAATAATTGTAAGGCATTGCGCCTGACATTTTTTTGCCGTCTACTTTCCGTTCGCAGAGACTTGGACAACCGTAGGTCGCGTAAAAACACCACACTCTCTTGACCGATATTTTCAAAGCTCGATTTCTCTTACGACGAAGAGGATGCCGCAACGACCGATATGCTCTTCTCGCACCGCCATTTTCGACACCGTCACTGCCGTTTTTGCATGCAGATATGCAGCCCAAAGGGTGTGGCATCACCATGCAACCGACGGTACTGGGTCGGAACATTTCTGGATGCATGTTGTAAGGGGGACCAGGTGCATGCTATAATGCAACTCTTTAGCCCCCCCCCCGTTCTCAAGGTGCAGTTTCCGAGACGGTCTGCAAGTCTTTCTACTCTAGTTTTGGGGCACAGCAGACGGATTCGAGCTCGAGCACGACTCCTGCAACCCACCATTTGCTGGATGTGCAGGGTTGCATGGGCATATGACAGCAACTTCGCTGATCCTTATGAGCTAATTCCCTTCCAGCTGTACCACAAAATAGGTCCATGTACGTTTGAGGTCCACTCCCTCCAATGTGTCGTGTCGGACAGCACCCTCACGGTTGTACCATTTGTGTTGCTTCTTTTTGTGGCGTCCGAACACCAAGCTGCGATTGCCCTCTTTGAGCTTGCTGTCTCAAAACCACCTCGCGCTCTTGCGGAAACACCGCGTACCAACCTAGACTGGCGCGGGCTTCAAGGTGGCACACAGCAGTAGTTGAGAAGACGATGATTGACAGAAGCGGCAGTGCGTCGTTTTCGTGTTTGCCTTTGTGATTTCGTCTCGTATGGCGCCAGCCGTCACCTCAAGAAGGTCTTTTCCGGCAAGCACAACTAGAGAAGAACACGTGGTACATGTGTTCGGCTGTGACTTTTTTGGCACCACCGTTGCTCTCCCTGCTGGCTCCCTGTCCGTAGCTCAAACGCCACTTCCGTGCGCTCAGCGACAACACAAAGCCCGGGCATGTATACCCACGCCCCCTTCCGGCCCAAAACACGACAAGACTGGAGAAAGACGAAACAACTCGCGACATCTTATCGGCCCACCGCCACAAAAGGGCGAGGGATGAAAAAGACAAGATAGGGTTGTCACACCCCAAGGAAGGGGGGCTTCAAGCCCTACCCCTCCCCGCAGCAAAAAAAACACACACGCTAAAACCATCGCTTCTCGTGGTTGTTGGACAGGCAAAAGGCCTGCGGCGGGAGCTAGCGGGATAGCTGTCCACACGGCTCCCAACTACGACAGTGTGTGGTCACAGAAAAACTGATCTACTCCTCGTCTTCCTCTTCCTCATCCTCTTCTTCCTCCTCTTCCTCATCCTCTGCAAACTTGGACCAGTCGATGTCGTCGTATTGTTTCTGCATAAAAAAAAAAAAACAGCGTGGGGAGTGGGGGATAGAAAGCAAGGCCAGGGGGGGCGTACTCAACAATAGCTGTCAAGACCATTGACCATGCATCCACGAGAGGACGGAGCATTGCTCCGGCAGGACCGATCGCAGACACCCCCCGTGCACTGGGACGGTTACCGGTCTACTGCCAACCGCCTAGGGATACTCGGAGAAGTGAAATGCTTACGCTTTCTTGAATCACCTCTGGCAGACAAAAAAAAGAAAAACTCACCAACCCACACCACGCGGCGAAGGTAAAAAAATCGCACGAAAAGGCGGCAGAAAGCTCTCGGAAAGATCAAACCATGTCAGTCAGCACTCGGCACAACGCCAATTTGTGGCGCAGGAGGGATTGATTCAAACTGCTCTGGGGGGTGGGGTGGGGGGATACGAGCGCCCGCCAAGAAGCGGGCAGGTCTTTCTTGTTGCGTAACGCCTATCTGTGTGGTAGAAGCTCTCACTTACCCCCTTGTTGATGGAGTTAAAAATGCTGTCTCCGACCTTCCCATAGACGAACTCGAGCACCACCGAGGCTCCGATGATGTACGTGATGTACATCGGGTTGCTCTGTCATGTTTGAGACGCGCCCCGCCGCCCACATCGCCAGGAGTACGCCCACCAGAGATAAGGGGGGGTCGAAAGAGAGCGAGACCGATAGGCAGACAGAAAAGAGACAAGGAGAAATAGGGGGAGGGAAGGAGACAGTCACGATCCTGTGTGGCAGCCACACGGAACAAACCCACGCAGCACTTGTAACACCTTTCCACGGAATCGAAACCAGGGTCACGATACCCATATATAGCAATCTCCTCAAACACACCACAGGTGTTCTGTCATTAACATCCACAAGCACGGGCTGGGTACAAGGTCATATGCCCCTGCTCGTTGCTGCCCGCCCCCCAGGGACGAAGCAGCAAACCGCGTCACTCCCTCAGCACCTGATGGCAATTTCTCCTGACTGACCTTCCACACGGTGTTGTACGCCGCCGTGAGGGCCGAGTTGGAAGCCATACCCCTGGTGGCCCCCGCCGTCATGACCCCCCCTCGTGTCGCCGCCGCCGCCGCCGCCGCCGCCGGTGCGCGCCGGAGGCCCGCCGCCGTTACGGCTGCTCGCCGGGACGCCGCCATGACCGAGCTCATGCTTGCTGACAACTCTGTTTTACGTCCTGCGCGCGCCTGCGTCGTTTTTCGCAGAGCGAATTTGTGTCGCAGTGGAAGAAACAAATCGTTGGCCAGGAGAGAGTGCTAACGGTACATAGTAGGTGTTCGGTCAGGAGGGAGTATAACGGTACACAGTGGTGCCTTAGGCAGCGGCAAGCTCATCTTCCACGTGCAGACGAAGACACGCGAGTCTGATGCTGGGCGTCCAGTGAAGTCGGAGTAGAGGCAGCCGCTGACGTGGCCCCACCTGCTGAGGTGGCCGCGGCACCTCCAGCAGCAGCGGCGGGGACGTCCTCATCACCCGCAGCGGCTACTAGCGTTCGAGAGAACGCGTACCTAGGTGCGAACGAACGGCCCGGCCACCATTCTTGTCGTAACGCTTTTTGACCATTCCTTGCTGAATGTCATGCTGTTGGTGTTCGTTGCGACGAACACTGACAGCGTGGCTTCCAGCAGAGGATAGTGCGATCAGCGTCACGAAAGGAACATGGTAGACGAAGACCATTCGCACCTACCCGTTCTCCAGAGCGTCGGTGGCCCGCTCGGGTGATGAGGACGTCCCGCTGCTGCTGGCCGCCCCTACTCCGACTAAATTACCATGGCGTCTTGCACCAGACTCGGTGCCTCCGACGCGACAATACGGGGGAGGAGCTCGCCGTTGCCTACACGAACCGGCTGCGGTTTGCTGTGTCATTTGTCTGGGCAGAACTAGCGATAGCAAGTGGCCGCTTACGTCGTCGTGGGCGTCGTTGTTGTTGTTGTTGTTTTGTTGTCTTCACATTAAAACCGTTCCGGTCTCCACTCAGCACCTTCTAATGTCCGTACTTGCCCCACGCAAATGGCCAGGTAAATATGCTGACACACGTTCCTTTGTGAGGTGTGGGTGCAGCCGTTGAGAACATACTCCGGGATCCGGGATGCAAAAATGCTACATTGTAGCACAACAGCTTCTATACAGCAGAGGTGACGCGGTATCGATCGAGCGAGATTGAGACGTCCAGCAGTTTTCGTTCTCTGCCGACACCAAAATTACAAAAAAATGTCATTCCCCGAAACCACTCCCTACAAATCGTGTGCGTGTGTTCTCCAAAACCAACAGTGAAAGTTACACAAGACAATCGAACCATCAAGTCCTTCCGGTTTGCAATCTACGCTAGTACAACATGGATATTCCGCCGCTCCTCCCTACAGACGAGTGTAGTCTACGTGCGAGGAGGCTTGTGTTTTCATTTTTGGATGATGTTGGGCGGTAAGCAAACTATGACTTGATTTCCGAGGACGTGTGAACAACATCTCGCTTTGATTGGAGCTCAGAGCCGGGCCTTCATTTCTTCGATTGGGTGTGTTTGTCTTCCCATGCAGGTATTATTTTGGTAGCTGTGCAAGCGCGGCCTACGAACACATGTCCCGTTTGTACACATGGTATAACTGCGATGGAGTATGCATACGACGGAGGTGATACATCCGATACATGTGTGAGCAAATCTGGACGGTTTCGACACTGCACATCAACACCGCCAACCACCTGCTCCTTCCTCTTGGTGCAAGGGCGTCAACGCCGCTCCCTCGCCTTCGGGAGAAGGAGAGGTCGCGCCCAAGCTCTCTGCGCATTGCCAAAAGTACTTGGGCTAGAGTGTGGCTTGCGCCACGAAGAAACCGCTGACGAACCCGCAGAGGGTCTCAAACGAGGCCATGCAATTCGCTCTCAGCACCACACCACGGCACTCCCGGGAGTAGTCGCTACCTTAGGGATCAATTTACCAACTCACCCTGCTTCCGCCGGTTCGTAGTTCCGATAACCTGTGCGTGTGCCGACGTTAGCGGGAGCACAAGCACAAGGCCATCACAGCTCAGAGCTCTGGGAGGGGTGCGGCGAACTGGAAGATTGGGTGGTACCGCCTTTCGCGAAGACCCTGACACACGTATCAAGCCACCGACCGTGCAAGCCAGCACACCAGCTCTTACACACCCTGACGTAAGCAAATCAGATCAGCACCGACTGCACACGGGACCGAGAGTAATAAATTGTTAATCTGTCTCCTGTTGCTGGTCGAAGCCGACGGTCTGGAGAGCGCTTTGGTACTGAACCCTTCTGACCAACAAGGCAGGGACACACGTGTTCTCTCCACTTCTAAGAGAGCAGCCAAGGGAGCAGCGGCGGCGACACCATGAAGGCAGCTGTGTCTCTCGCGGGCGCGGTACTCTTGTCGCGGGCCCCAGCTTCAGCGGCAGTGGGGGAGCAGCCCACCATCGTTGGATCTAGGGCACCGCCAATGGCTTCGTCGTGGACAAAAGGTACGAAAAAGTATCGTTTACCTCGTGTGCCGTATAAACAGAGCACGGAGCGGCGTGACATCGACTGAGTAGTCTGCTGATATGTAGCTTCAATGGAGCTTCTTGTCTTCACATGCCAAGCGAAAGCAAAACAGAGTGCGGAAGTGGCACTCCTTTTGGTAGGGTTCATCATGGCACTCCTTTTGTCTCCTTCCCCGTCTCGCTTTCTGCTCCCAGCGAAATTTTCCGTCGTTTTCCACTGACCTAACGGTGGTTCAACCCAGCTCGGTTCAGTGCCAACAAACTAACGTATCGAATCGAAAGTTAAAGTTGGCTCTGTGTGGGTCGGACAGGTGTCCATTGCCTCCCTATCGGTACACCACAGCGCACTTGGGTCGTGTGCATGTTGACCTGCTACGCGTACGGATGGTCATGTACGGATTATAGCGCCCGTTACATTGCTTGTTCGCGGCTGCTCGCAAGCCGTAGCGTCACTCTCAGACTAGGTACTGCCTTGTGAAGACGTACGACCATCTTCTTGTCCAGCTCCCTCTGTGTGACTCGATGGATTTCGAACGAACGATCGCGAAGTCAACACTGTTCTGCGTGTTTCCCCAAGAATATAAAGGATTAACACGCCATATGAGTGTGCGTCATGTCACTTCCAACGTTCTCCCTTTAACGTTTGGGTACAAATCCCTCCTGCGTTGGACCCCGAAGGAGTCTACGTTTCTGTCTGTGCATGCCGTGAAAAACTGTGTCGCGAGAGAGGACAGCTGGCCCTCCCACTCTGCCGCCCGGTTCCCGTTCCAGCTAGTCCCAAAAGTACCTAGGGACCCGTCCCTTGTTCCGAATCACACCCTATCCACCCTTTCCCCGAACAGCTCTTGTTCCCCATGACCACCCTACCTACGTCGTCCCTTGTCCCGTATCTCACCCTACACCCTGTCCCTTGTTGTGTATCACACTCTAAATGTACCACCCCGCCCCCTGTGCCGTACCAAACCCTGACCACCCCGCCCCTCGTTTACGTATCACACACTGACCACCCAATCCCTTGTTTCGTATGACACCCTGACCACCCCTTGTTTCCGTATCACACTCTGACCACCCCGTCCCTTGTTCCGTATCACACCTCACCCAACCCGAGCAGCAGCCCCTCGGGAAGGCAGAAGGCGCATCCGGAACGCCGACCTCCACCGCGACCGCCCCCCAGAACCCCTATCCACCACCAACCTCACTGCCATGCTGAGGGGGGGTTGGCTCGGCGTCGACCTCGTGCAGGAGATCGCCAAGGCCTACCTGAAGCCTCCCGCGGGTGAAGGCGGCGAGGCCGCGGGCGGAGGAGAGGGCGGCGGCAAGGGGGCAGAGCAACAGGCGGCCGATGGTGGAGGCCGCGGCAAGGGGCGAAGAGGCCGCGGAGGAGGGGATAACGGGGCGGCGGGGAGGCGTGCCGAGGGCTGGGACTCGGCGAGCCCTAGAGCAGGTGGCGATAGCGCCAAGGACGGGGGCGCGGCGGCAGCTGGTACGGGTAGCAGCGGTGGCGGGAATGGGGCTGGAACGGACGGGGGCGAGCGCTCTACCGGTGGTGCTATGCAGGGGCAGATGGAGCGGCTCCGATTGGCGCTGCAGCAACAGGTGCGGAAGGGGTTGCCGACATCAAACGTTCGCAATAAAACGCGTACTTCGTACTTCTTACAGTCCCGTAGCCGACGGACGCGTGTTCTTCACTCTAGCCCGGCGCCGCGGCGTCGATGCCAATAAGGGAAGAGGTACAAACACACGGAGTCCGCGTGCAATGTGTGACGGCGCCTTGTATTGCATCGGTGTGATGGGGATGAGGGCTTCCCGCTCACGTGCTGCTGCGTCGAGAACACGGTGCACCGTCTGGAGGTGGTAGCGTCGAGGTCATGATTGTAGCGGAGTTTGAAGTGTGAATGAAGTTTCGCCATCTCGTGCTGCCACTGCTGTTATTGTTGTTGTTGTTGTTGTTGTTGTTGTCGGTGGTGGTGGTAGCTGTGGTGCTGCTGTTGTCGTTATGGGTACTGTTTTGCTGTTGCCGTGTCGTGTGTCGTGTGTTGTTATCTTCTGGACGGTTGTTGAGGCCGACCATGTTGTCGTCATTCCTATTTACTGCTGTAGCTTGTTACTGTTTACTTCACTCGGCATCCAACACCGACTAGAATCGAATGACCTTCGAAAGCTGACCCCAACCCTGACGACAAATGCTGGAAGGTCTAGCTTTTGTTGCTCCGCCAAGGACTGACTGACGCACTGTACTTTCATTGTGGGTCCGGCTAGCGTGGCCGGTGTCAACATGTAGCAGTAGCACACACACCGGGTGACTAGAAAGCTGGCTCCTGCTATTTGTACCGCCATGAGACTGAGGTCTTTTCACTCGCCAACCGTTTAGCGCGGTCGATGCTACTACATGAAACACAACAAACACACGCGTCCTCCTCTGCAGCCCGTGCGGCGTGTTTCATGTGGCGATATGTAGTAAATCTCATGCCCATCTCTTTCCTGCGAACCTTGCCCAGCAGACGGGCGGTAACGGGCGAGAGACCGGAGGGGAGGGCGGAACCAGCGGCAGCGGCGGCGCTAGAGACAGCCATAGAGACAAGAGCAACAACAATAGCGGCCATCGGGCTTCGATGGCACCGAAGAACCCGCGCCTTTCCGTCTCTGGAGGCCTCCTCGTTGACCGCGGTGCCAACTCCAACGTAGAAACCCAAAGCAGCGGCGGAAATGGTGCCGGTTCGGCTTTCGATGGCGGCGGTTACAGCACCGAGTCGGCGGCGGGCAAGGATGAGCAGAGCTGGGAGGACGGCGGCGAGGATTTTGATTCTGATGACGAAGAGGTGAATGTTTCCAAGACGCTTTTGCGTTTCAAAGACAAATGTAGCACCCGTGGTACTTCGTATTCTTTTATAGAAGTTTTTCATGCAATCACAGAAACGCTACCCAATCGGTTTTTGGTCTCATGCTCCACAGACTTTCCGCGTCTTGTGAGTGCGTGAACTGTAGAATGCCTTCTTTGTGTGCAGTACAGTTTTCTTCAGCGGGTATCCGGCAAGGTTTCAGTTACTGCATGCCACGTACGTACGAGTTTAGACCCCCCGGAGATTGGTTGGCGTAGCCGGCGGCGGCGGCGGCGGGCGCACCGTAAGAGACGGAGAGATGGGAGCAAAGATGGGTTGATACACAACCAAGCGGGTGCAGAAAGGGCCCGATACTTCTACGGAAGGCCCTCGACGAGATGTTTCCGAAACCATTTTCGGCGTTGGCACAATTTTGGTTGTGAACGTAAGCGCGCTTCAAGGATCGGTCTCGGGGCATACCATCTATCCGCCTCTTTCGGTAATCTCATGTGTTTATGTTTTGCACGCCTTAGGGGTTTGACCATTGACCACGAGAGAACGAAGCATTGTTCCCACAGGACCAATCGCCGATGGCCAACCGCTCCGTCCTAAATTTCAACTGCGGCTCAAAAACGTTTTCCCTGTCCCGTCTTGTTTCGCCTGCTGAGGCCACTTCTTATTCCCCAGTACCGACCGTCTTCCCCTCGCTGTTCCATGCGAGCTTTTCTCCGTAGCTTACGTATATCTCCCCCTGCTACAGCGCTGTGCATTCCTATCTCCTTTTCAATCACATGCGTGGGGGGGGGGGGGGGG